CGTGAAATGAGCAGGGAGGAGGAGGTAACAATTGGCCAGCTGTATAATTGATCACAGATTCATATTATTATTAATAGGCTTCAGATGTAACTAATCACAAAAAACACTTGTGCCTGGGTCATGACTGCCCTCAGCATTCCTTCTGGGCAGCAGACGCAGTTTGTCAGTTTGCCAACAACCCACTTTCATGAGAACAGTTTGCAGTTTACTCATATAGCCTCCAGTGGTATACTGAGTTGATCATGACCCTCACTCTTTCGGCCTTCAACAAATTTAGAAATATGGATATAGAAAGTTTGAAAAGGCTTGTGAAAAGAAAATTTTATGTTGCATGGTCAAAGCTGGCTAAGACCAGATGGTTGTATTTATAATGGCTTTTTAGAAAACCTTAAATGACATTTAAAATTAAAAGTACAGTGATGTAAAACTAGAATTTGATTTTTTCTCTGTAAAAATGACAACATTTACTTGGGTTACTGGTCCGCTCTTAATAAGAAATTGCCAAAAGTTGTGGGGATTTTTTGCTTTTCAAGTAATCAACTTAGAATAAAAAGATTGTGTATCTTAAAATGATTTCCTGTGCTTTATATAAACTTGATTATTTTCCTGATTATTTAAGAAAACCACGTATTCTCACTTTTAAAAGAGCTAAGGTCTTTAAAAAAAAATTATGTTACCCCCATAGTTACTTTTGAAATCTTTTGTCATATTGGCTAAATAGATTGCTTAAGTATTGTTTCATAGCTGTCTAAGATCTTATTTAGTCAAGTGTTCAAACCTTTTGAGATTTTTTATGACATTGCTTTTCCAAGATCAAATTCTAAATGAAATCTTAATTTTGAGCTGAACTTGAAATTTCCCAGAACCCTAGACTATCTCAAAGAATTTTTTCCTTTACTTTTTTTTTTTTTTTTAAAGTTAAAACTAATTAGATTTATTTAATAGGTTAAATTGCATGAAGTGCATTGTCAAATAAGAAGAGAGGTATTGGGCATGGTGGCTCACACCTGTAATACCAACACTTTGGGAGGCTGAGGTGGGAGGATCACTTGAGTCCAGGAGTTTGTGACCAGCTTTGGCAATATGGCAAGACCCTGTCTCTACAAAAAAATAAAAGAATTAGCTGGGTGCGGTGGTGCACACCTGTAATCCCAGCTACTATGGAGGCTAACAAAGGAGGATCAGTTGAGCCCAGGAGTTTGAGACTGCAGTGAACCACAATCACACCACTGCATTCTAGCCTGGGCAACAGAGCAAGTCCCTATCTCAGAAAGAGAAAGAGAGACAGATACAAATACAAGAGGGGCCTAACAAAGACTCTCTACTTAACCAAACTTTATTCAGATTTTCCTGAGCCCTCTACTTAACCAAACTTTAGTCAGACTTTCCTGAGCCCTCTCTGACTAGACCTGGGATTTAGGCCCTGTCCTATGGCCTGCATCACCCAGTTTTCACAAAAGTCCCACCTTGCCCAGTTTAAGGAAAGTCTCCCACCCTCGATACCTGATTACTCTGAATATCTGATCAAAATCTTCATCCCCCAACCTTGAGATCTACCTGGCCTGACCTGGCTACACTGACCTGTCTTCAGCAAGAATCCTTTAGATCAGTGTAGCAAGAATCCCGTCAAACTTGATGTCTCCTCAATAATTTTTTATTCATTGACCCCCTCATCCTGCTCCATGGCTATAAATCCCCACTTATCCTTCCTGTGTTTGGAGTTGAGCCTCAGGTGTCTCCCCTGTTGCAAGTCTTCCAAAGCCTTCATTACTGTGTTAACAAGTGTCATGAATATTTTTTACTTCAATAATGAAATTTTTCATATGCAACTTTATATCCTTCAGCTTATTGAGATATTCCCATGTATTGAATGGATGAATAAATAAATTAATGTGTAAAAGCACAAAGCAAAAATTAAAAGAGAGAATAGAATGCAAAGTTCCTAAATCTTACAAATGGTGTGGAACTAAAAACTAAAATAAAGAGGAGAAAATTAAGAAATAATAGAAGCAGATTTTCTAGAACGGAGGAAAGACGTAAGTTTTTAGATTAAGATAAATGTCAGGGAAAATTGTGAAATACAATATTGTGTGCACTGTTTATCTTACACATAGCAATTATCTTTTCTATAATTGTCTTTGAGCTAGGCAATTTACAATTTTTAAATTGTAGAAAAGTGATTGTAATGTAACTAATTTTGCTCATAGAAATGCAAATTTATTGTGTCTGATGAAATGTAATGGACGATTGCCCTGTGGATAAGACCCAGTTTTTATATTTATTTGTGAATGGATTTCAGCACTTCTATACAGCCTATAATCTTGAGAATTCTTTGGATTCTTAATCCAAAGATAATATCTTAGTAGTTCCCTCATTAATTAATCACGTAAAATCATTGACACATGTATGAGAGTTATGATTATAACTTCCTTTTAAAATTATTTTTTAATGGAGTCCACCAAATGCTAAGCCCAATTAATGAGAAAAGGCCCATAGTTAGACATATTCTAGGGAAATATATTGAAATAAAATCTTAAAATCTTCCTGTTACCTATAAGAGAGTACAAATTAGAATGTGGATTCAGCTTTTCTAGCTAAACAAAGACTAATGGCTTACAAAAATTTTTTGCCCTCTCAAAGCACACTTATCAACCTTATCTTGACATATTTCATTAAATATCTCATTAACTGCTTCTTGAAATTTTAGCCTCTCTTTTCAGTTAGGATTTTTATTCATAGTTGAATAAAAGAATCTGGAGCTATTACAAGTTATTTGCACATAGCTGTGAGAAGTAAAATGCTTATGAACTTGGAGTTGGGAATTAGATTTCATGAGTTTAAATCCAGGCTCCACAATTTACTGTCTATGAGACATTTAATACACTTAAACTCCTTAACCTCTTGGTGTTTTAGTTACTTCCTCAGGGCAAACAGAAATAATAATAATAATACATACCTCCTAGGGTTATTGGAACATTCAATGAAATAATACATAAAATACTCTTAAAATAATGACTGCTATGTAGTAAGGATGAGGTATGTGAACTATATGTAAAATATATCAGGTTGAAGTATAGCCCATGGGACATTGTTTGCAAATGGGAAACAATCTAAAGGTCTATTAATGGTGAAATGATTATATTTATTATAGGCTATCCATGCTGTGGGATACTATGTAGACCTTGTAAAAATTAAGCAAATCTAGTTATGTTAATATGGAACTCTTTCTCTACATGAAAACTGAAAGTTGAAGGCCAATAATATTATATATGATATGATCACAATTGTGCAAGGGAAAAAAGATCACAAACTACCCATTTAAAACAGCCAAACTTAGAGTTAAATGTGTGTATGTTTGTATATACAGAGATAGAGAGATATATACACAAGCAAATTTTTTAATAGTGGTTACCTTAGGGGAAAGGAAGTAGTGGGGAGATATTCTAAAGGTCTGATATGTTTACTTTCTATGTTGTATTTATGTATAATCTGTGGGATTCACTAAGAAAACTCTAAGGCAAGCTTGTCCAACCTGTGGCCTGCAGGCTGCATGAGGCCCAGGACAACTTTGAATGCAGCCCAACACACATTTGTAAACTTTCTGAAAACATTATGAATTCTTTTGCGATTTTTTTTCACTAGATCATCAGCTATCCTTAGTGTTAACGTATTTTATGTGTGGCCTAAGACAATTCTTTCAGTGTGGACCAGGGAAGCCAAAATGTTGGACACACCTGCTCTGAGGAAGTATGAGTATTGGTTTTCAGATGCTTACTTTCCGACACACTATAACATATGTACTTAGTATTTTGGTTTCACCGCTATTTTGTTGATTTTTCTAGTGTGCGGTTTTCGTTCTGGTCTTTCACTAACAATTAATTTAATGAGTCTCTAAATGACGATAAAAGCACACATTTCTGGTTATTTCCAGATAGCTAGCCAGGGAACAGCATCTTATGCTATTTTCTCATATTTCTGGCGACAAACGTTATATGTGCCTTACATGTAACATTCACCAACTACTACCATGTGTTAAAAGTTTTTCATGTATGTGTGTGTGTGTGTATATATACACTATGTATTATCTTTCTGTCTTCTTTCTCTTATTCTCTAATCTTACATATATATCTGATCTTATATGTAATCTGATATAAAAAATATATCTAATGCAATATATATAAGATGTATATCTAATCCGATATAAAAAAATGTATATCTAATCCGATATATATGAGATGTATATCTAATCCGATATATATAAGATGTATAACTAATCCGATATGTATATAAGATGTATATCAATCCGATATATATATAAGATGTGTATCTAATCTGATATATATAAGATGTATATCTAATCCGATATATATAAGATGTATAATCCAATATATATAAGATGTACAGCTAATCCAATATATATGATGTGTATCTAAACAGATATATATGTGTATATGAGATGTATATCTAATCAGGTATATATAAAATATATTTATCTAATTTTATATATATATATATATAATTCTAATAAAGCAATTTGAGGACAAAATTTATGCTGAGTTAGCATTTTATTCTTGACAATATGATATTTTGCATATAATCATTACTTAATAAATACCTCTTAAATGAATAGTATTTTAAACTGTTGTAATTGTGTGTACAAAAAGGCATGAGTTTAAAAATATATATTCTGAGCAGACTATAGGAAAGTGTATTACATACTTCTGAACAGACTACATGTGAAAATAGTATCATTTCCATCATCTAGCATTCTAATATTTTAATTACAAATACATACATAGTACTTTGTCTCAGGAAATGGTCATTTCATTTTTTATTATCCCATAGAAGTTTTTCCCAGTAGAAATTTCTCAACCAAGATGCACGAGTACAAAGTTAGAATTGTTTCCTTTAAATCTATTGATAAGAACTCAAGAAAAAATATTTTAGACTACACAAAAAACTTCTTATTTTGTTCTCTTTGCTTTTCGAATATTTTTCAGACTTGGGATGTAGCTTTATCACGGACTGCTAGAGCATGGGGAAAAAGATGTGTGTTTGAGCATAATATTTATTTAGAAGATGTACAAATGGTCCATCCTAAATTTTATGGTATTGGTGAAAATATGTGGGTCGGCCCTGAAAATGAATTTACTGCAAGTATTGCTATCAGAAGTTGGCATGCAGAGAAGAAAATGTACAATTTTGAAAATGGCAGTTGCTCTGGAGACTGTTCTAATTATGTTCAGGTATCTAATTTTTATTTTGTTATTAATTCAAATACTTTTTAATTGCTTTATGCCTAGTTTTATTATGTTTCAAATTTGTACATAAACTCAAATAATAAAATTATTACATTTAATAAGATCACACTTTTAATCAATCTTCCTAGTCTTCAAAATGTCTACCATCCCATCTTTTATGTGAACCATACAATTAAAACAATATTTTAAATGGAGTAAACCTACTCTCCATGTTCAAAGATGAAAAGCACTTTCCTAAAAATAATGTACACTGGAAAAGGAGGAAAGAAACCAGTAAATAAAAATAATTTATAAATTATTGACTATAAACATAAGTAGAAAATTTTTTTGCACATATCAGTACACATACTACTATATAGCTGATTGACTAAAACATTTGGAATGCAAATTAATAGTATTGTTTCCCTGCCTCTAGTTCAATAATCCACCCTCACACTTCATACTCCAGGAATATTGAAGCACTTATGGCACATAACCTTTGTTATTTTACACATCACATTGTTTAACAATAATTTATTTATATGTCTGATACTACACTGAGGGCAGGGACCTTGCCTTTTCATCCATATATTCTCAACAACATGACATTATTTAGGTCTGCAATAAATATTTGTTTCAGGAATCAAGAAATCATTACATGAACTCCCACATTTATTTAAAAGGTAGTTTTTCAATCAACAAACCCTTATGTCACGTTTTATGTAGAACTTAACATTTTGGAATTTGTTCATGTTGAACTCATGTCTTTCTCTTTCATCCAATCATGCTTCAAAAATTTTTTCATTATTTTTTTTTTTTCTGATCATTTCTTCCTTCTGGAAAGTTATAGTGATTTTCCATTGACTTGCTACTATCAAACCTAGCCTCTTTAATATGGCTTTAATACTCAGGAAACTAACCAAATCTACTCCCTGATATGGTACTCTGTGTTTTTATTCCTTAATTCTAGTCTCCTAGACATTTTCATTTCCTGCATTTGACATGCTTAACTTCACTTTAACTCTTGCAGATATTCTATTCTTTATTCTTCTAATGTATCACCTTTTTAATGTGTCACTTTATTTCTTTAAGGATCACACTTTTAAAACCACTAAGGCCTGAGATAAAGAATAAAACAAGAATGGTTCCTCTTTCTTGCACAGAGATTAACAAAACAAGTACTTTTTGGTTCACTTGGAAGTATTAGAAATATTAAAGTTATACAGATAATTTCTGGAATGCCTTTGATTATTCCCATCTTTTTTACTCCAATTCAAGATCTGTTTCTCTTTTATAGAAACCAGCTCTTTTATTTCATTTTTTAATGAAAAGGCCAGCTTTTGTTTTGTCCTGCAATAGAATTTTCTTAACAAAGAGAAAGAGAAATGCAAATAGCATTCAATTCTTCTCTACTCTTGTATCTCTTTTAGTTTCTATAATCAGATTGTCTCTCTTTTTTTCCCTTTTTCCCACAACTTCCATCTTTTAAAAACTTATTCTCCTCTTTCCCATCTTCTCTCTTCCAATAACCTAGAACTTTCCAATTCAACCAGAGGTTGAAAATTGATTCATCAGGTGTGACTTCCTCTGTCTCTGAAGCATTATTCTGGGTTGACCGTGTTCTCAAACAGTTCTTCCTAAGAATATGGTATTGGTAGAATCTATTGAAGTATTTCTTTAAATACAGTGTTGAAAATGCTGCCCCAACTCTGTGGTAACTCTCTACATGTCTCTAAATAAAAATAGTTTATATTTCTTGAATTGCTTGGTGAAAAGTTCTATGTGAATGGAATATATTATTGTTTATAATATGAAAGTAAATGTTTAAAATTAAATTTTGTGTCTTTCTTGAAATTTTTATTTTAGCTTGTTTGGGACAACTCTTACAAAGTTGGTTGTGCTGTTACTCCATGTTCAAGAATTGGACATATTATACATGCAGCAATTTTCATATGCAACTATGCACCAGGGTAAGTTACTTAAAATTAATAAAAGAATATAAAAATAAATTCAGAAAATTTCAAGATAAGTTTTTCTAACTTTCAATATATTTTTATGTTTTTTGAACTATAAAATAATTAAATATAATATTTTACATTGAAATATTTTCAATTTCATAATGAAATAAGTCATAAATTGGACATATTGATTTTACTTATACACTGGCCAAATATTACTTCCTAGAATAACCTTAACTTTAGTATTATTTCACAATATTTCACTTAATTAGCATAAGACAAATTATTTTCCAAAAGAGTTTATTCTAAAATTTATAGTAGAAGTAGAAAGAAAATTAGATGTGTTGAAATTTATTCAGTAAGAATTGTATCAGGAATATGTCAGTTTTGTAACATGAAGAGCACTTTTAATTGACCACCCCTTGGAGATTATTGACTGGGACCTGTCTTATACATATAAGGAATTGTAACATCTCGAGATTGAAGAGCACTTCACACAACTTTTAGTCAAGCTATTCATATATGACTATACCGTATACCTGAGTACCTTCAAATGATGGAAAATAACTACATCTCAAAATAGCTTCCATTTCTTGAGAGCTCTTTTGGAAATTTCCAAGCTTTCTTACAGGTCAATATAATACTATAAGTAATATTGTTATAACTTCCAAATAAGTTAGAAAATGTTCGAATTAACATCTTAAATAAACAGTAAGAATTGACTGCCTACCAAGATTGAGAAGGAATTTCTGCCAAATAAAATGCTTTGAGACTAAACCAGAAAGAAAAATTTAAAAAGTAGTGATTACTGATTGTATTCCCCTGGCTAAGAAAAACAGTAGAACTATGCTCTGCGTCAAATTAAACTCAGAAAGCTCTTTCCTGATGAGAAGTCTTGCTAACTTTGAACATAGACATGCAAAATAAGTTTGGAATATAGAGTTGCAAAACATTTTAGGCGTCCTTTCACTCCTACAGACTGGAAGCATTGGGATACCTATTACTTGCAGAAACTTTAAAAATTACTACTGATTGGTGTTGCAAATTCAAACAGAATTGTACACCGGGGAGGAGGGGGTTGGTAGAGGATTTTCTGGGGCACAAATCCTCATTTATTCACTCAGCAAGTATGTACAGACTCTGTTCTTTCTACTAACAAGATGTAAAAGACACCACATTTAGTTTATAGTCTTGGCAGGGAGACAAACACTTTAATAAGTGAACACATAGATAAATAACATTGTAATTAGACAATAAAATATACTGTAAAAAGCAAGATTAGCAAATAGAGAATGACTGGTCTAGAAGATAGATAGGGTAGTCACAGAAGAAGGGTATCATTTGAGCTGAAAACCAGATGTTCCAGGTAGAAGTATGTTCCAGGTAGGAGCATGTATAAAAATCTCAGAGACTGGAATGAGTTTAACATGTTTGAGAAGGAATAACTGTGGTTAGAGGTAGGAGTTGAGGTAGAGAATTAGATGACAGCTAGACCAAATATTATAACATACGTTATGTTAAAAATTTTGGAATTTATCCTAAGTAATGACAAAGGCAGTGGAAGGTCTTAAACACAGAGTGACATGATCTCACTTTTGTTTTGAAAAGAACACCTTAACAAAAAGTTTACTGTGACCGTTGGTAGAGAATGAAATATAAGGAAACAAGAGTGTAAAGAGGAAGTATAATTAAGAGGCTGTTTCCTATAGTACAGGCTACAGACTGATATTTTGGATTAGGGTTTTAGCATGTGGATTTTTTATCGAGTTAGATAATGAATTACCACAAATGTAGTGATTTAAAGCAGAACCCATTTATTATCAAACAGTTCTATAGGTCATGAACCCAGGCATATTGTGACAGGATTGTCTTCCCAGGGTCTCAAAGGCCAAAATCCAGATGTTGACTAAGTATTCGCCTGGAGGATTGGAGAAGTACCTGCTTCCAAGCTCATTCAGGCTGTGAGCAGAATTTAGCTCTGTATGATGATGGGACTCTTGTCCTTGTTTGCTTGCTGGCTCTGAGCCATGTGTTGTCTCATCTTCTGGAGCTGCCCATGTTTCTTTGACACGTGGCCCCACCATCTTCAGGTCAGCAAAGATATGTCAGAGCCATCTCATGTTTCAAATCTCTGACTCCTCTTCTGTGACCAGCTAAAGAAAACTCTCTGCTTTTAAAACACCCGTAGGATGAGTCAAGGCCAACCTAGATAATGTCAATATTTTAAGGTCAGTAGCGCCTTATAATATAATTATGGAAGTAAAATTAATCATATTCACTCTCCTGAGAATTATGCATTGCATGTACATGAGGAGTGGAGGATCTTGTGATTTATCTTAGAATTCTGCCTACCATAGAATGGAAATAGTGAGGAAAGGTCAGTTTCTGGGTATATTATGAAGGTGGAGCTAATAATACAAGCCAATTGGCTTGACTTTAGGGATAGATTGAATAAAATAATCAAGCAACACTGTGCCTATGTCTTTAGTCTAAAAAACCTGGGTGGATGGTGATTTCATTAACTTAGAGAAGATCAAAGGGTATGTTTTCTATTTGGGTATATTAGATAGAAAAATAAATGCAGGAAATGTGATTGAATCATGAGAAACAGAGAGCCATATGAAAGTATGTAGTTGTTTTCTAAGTAGAGGAAATTTCTGGTAAAAAGGCTCTGAAGTGAAAGTCACAGTGAATGAGATCAGCATGTGGGAGAGTGAATATGGAGACAATTTAAGAACTAAGTCCTGGGGCACTATGCTATTTCAAACTAAGGCAAAAGAGCTAGTAAAGGAGAATGAAGAGAGGCTAATGAGGTATGAGGGAAACCAAAAACCTGCTGGTAAGGTACTTGGAAGTCAAGTGAAGAACATGAACTAAGAAGCCCAAACTGGTTAACTCTATGAGATGCTGCTGAGAGAATGAGAAATTGAGGAAGGAGAACTGACAGTTCCATTAGATGAGATGAAGGTATTTGGTGACCTTAAGAAGAATAGTGATTCAGGGGTCTCAGATGACTACAGTGATAAGATGAAGCTACTAGTTGTTGAAATCACCCTTTTTTTCTTGCTACTCTCCTATGGCATAGGCTTCTTTGTCTTGAAATTTCTGTTAACCATTTTTCCTTTGATACAAATATTGGCAAGTCTACCTTGAAGGATCTAGATTGGAACATATATCAGTCAACTCAGTCCAATTCTTATTTGATTATGTACCTAAAATAGGCAATCACATTATCTCTCTTAAGGATAGTTGGTAGAAAAATCAATCCATTACAATATTATAAAATATTGGGTAGAAATGAATGTAAAATAACCAAATTGAAAATTAGAAGGTATAGTGGGATGAACGGTGCCCCCCAACCAACGTTAAATATATTTAGGCCCTAATTTCCAGAACCTGTCATTATTACTTAAATGACAAAAGTGTGAATATTACCTAATATGGCAAAGATGTGGTTAAGATAAGGATCTTGAGAAAAGGAATTTATTCTGGATTATTTGGGTGAGGGCTAAAGAGGAGAGGAGGATTCAACATTAGACACACAGAAGAGGAGGAGACAGTGTGACCACAGCGGAAGCGGCTAAAGTGATGCATCCAGAAGCCAAGGAGCTAAGGCCACCAGAAGCTGGAAAAATCAAAGAACAGATTCTCAGAGCCTTTGGAGGGAGCACAGTCCTGCCAACACCTTGATTTTGGACTTTGGGCCTCCAGAACAGTGAGAGAATAAGTTAATGTTGTTTTAGCCACCCAATTTGTGGTAATTTGTTAATATAGTTACAGAAAATTAATGCAGAATAGAAGAATAAAACAGACCTGGCCATGCATACAGAAAACAACAAGTCAAAGCAACCTTGAAAATTTTTCTCAGAAACACAAAGGTGAAGAATAGAGGTCAAAATATATAGAAAAAATGAAATATGTATGGCATATAAATCTACAAACTGATGTTTCTAAACAATAGAGAAGAGCAAAGGAAAGAGAAATGAGAAAGAAAAGAAAATGTTCCCAATCTACAAAGATATCTGTATAAAGATTAGAATAGTTTATAATGTATCTGAAAAAAACAGAAACAGTATTTACATATAATTATTTACTAGTCCTTATTTTTCATTTTCAAAGATAGAAACACACATTTTAAGTACAATTTAAAAAAATAAAAGAATATTAATTCGATTACTCTAAAACTTAAATATTGGAAAAGACATAAAGATGACCATAAGAATTTATGCTATTGATAGGTAATGTTATTAACTGAGCTAGGAAAAGATACAGAGTGGAGGGAAAAGAACTGTTTTTATTTTTAGGCATGTTGGATCTGCATTTGACTACAGGACCTTTCATTTAGTTAAATATAATTTTGTTGTAAGTGTGCCAAAGACATTGCACATTACATTTTATGTAATGTAATTTACAAATATTTCCCCAAATATTAATGTTTAACTGTTGACTTAAGATGCAATTCATTTTTGTCAAATCGTATTGCTTTGTTTTACTGTAGAAACAAAAGTATCAATTTTTTTTCATGGGTTTTGAGGTTTGTGTCATACATAGATAAGCTTTCTCAAAATATTACTGCTATTTTTAATTATCTCATATTTTCTTCTAGCAATTCTTATGTTACCCATTTTGCTTCTGTACATTCTGTAAGCTGGTATAAGAATATCTTGCTTAAAATAACTATAAAGACTGGACAAAACATATACAACAACTGTTTTTAGGCATTAGAAAACAACCAGTGTGGGTCTTTGATCTCTGCAAATAAGAAAGAACTCAACGGGAGTCACGTATTTGTTCCAGTTTTCTCCCTGAAAGTGTTTCCCAAACTGTAGCCAGAGAAACAGAATCCAAACAAAGAATGTGTTTTTTTTGGGGGGGGTAAAGGAGATATCAGTGTCTGTCAATGCTAAGGTGTCTGGTATTTGGGACCAGGATCTCAAAGAGGAGGAGGCTACAAAGAAGAAGCCCCCCAAGTCTATGTAAAAACTTTCTGTGGGTCCTTGGCCAACTCTTTA